AAGTCAAGGGTTAAGATCCCCTTACCGGTCATCTTTTTTTAAAAAAAAAATAAATAAATAAATGTTAATCTTGTCCAAAAAAAACCAACAACACCTTCATAGAAACATGCGGAATAATGTTTGACCAAATATCTGGGCACCGTGACCCAGCCAAGATAACACAGAATTAACCATCATAGTGCCTTTGTGCTGTGTCCTTAGCCTGAAGTGCCCACCTCGTAGGCTCCTGCTAGGCCATATGGTAGGTTAGAAAAAGGTGTCCTTTCCTCAGGCAGGCACAGCTCCCACTCATCTCCTCAGCCCAGTGCCCATGTGCTGGGCACACTCCTGCATAGCAGCCCAGCCAACTTCCCTGCTTGGTTTTCCTCCCTGCTTGTTTCTCATGATGCCCAGAGGCTTCCCATTCTTTAGGTTTCATTCTCCTCAGTGGAGTCTTTCTGGTCTCCCCTGGCTGGACATACTATTTCTCTCTTTCTGTTTTTCTCTTGCTCTCTCCCTCCCACAACCCATATCACATGTTATATGTGCAACTTTTAAGGCATCTATCTCATTTCATTTATGTCTTAGTTTTGGGTTTTTTTGTTTGTTTGTTTTTTTGCAAATGTCTCCTCATTCCACCTGGATTAACCCCTTGAAGTTGGCAGTTGCAGCTTATCTGTCTTTAGATCGATCCTCACTCTGCCTGTGGGGCTCAGTAAGCATTCATATTTATATGACTGATTATCAAAAGAAGAGCTATGGAGAGTCTTAAATGATTCTGTATGATGGTGGGGGACCAGGAATCTTTATAGGCAGGGGCGATGGTGGAGCACATGTGCAAAGGTGGTGCTGGTGACCATGACTGTGACCGTAATGGAGGCTTATTGAGCTTACCGTGTGCCAGCCACTGTGCTAAGTACTTTCGTGGTTTATCTCGCTCAGTCCTCACGACACCCCTTTGAGATAGGTACTGTTATTAGCTCTACTTTGCTGCTGAGGAAGCCAGGGCACTGACAAGCTAGCCGTGAAACTGGTGTACAAGGCCTGGTCTGCCTGACTTTAGAGTCCATGCTTTCAGTTATGACAGCAAGCAGACTCCTTCAACTGTATAGCAGCTACCTACCAGTTACTGAGGACTTACTACATACCAGGCATTATATTTGATGCTTTACAGATGTTATCCCTTATCCTCACGGATTATAAATGTATAAAGTGCAGGGTATGCCCACTTGCAGATGAGGAAACAGTCTCATTGAGGTTAAGTGACTTGCCTAAGGTCACATAAACAGAGGGTGTTGGTTCCAAAGTTAAAACCAGACCTCTCATAACCCAAAGCCAAGGTCCTTTGCTCCGCATCACGTGCACAGTGTTTGGGGCCAACAAGGAAACACTTGTGGCTGGAGCGAAGGCTGCAGCTAAGGTTAGAAAGGCAGATCTGCATCAGGCTGCAAAAGGCCTCACTTTCCAGCATGGACAATCAGGATGGGCTTTTGTAAATGAAGGGTCCTAAGCAGTGACCATGATTTGAGGATGGGGTGGGAGGGATGGCTGCTGGAGGCCAGGGGAATCCAAGCCAACTGGAGCTCTGCCCAGATCTGTGCTTGGGGAATCACAGGTCTTTGCACAGCTGCAGGGAGATCAAAGCACTAAGACCTGCTGAGAAAGTGATGTTTGAGCAGATCAGTGACTTACGGAAATGAGCCCATCCCTTGCATCTCAGCTATGGCCTCTCCTGTGCCTGCTTGTTTCCTGAGGGCATCAGGAGCAACTTTGCTTAGCCTCCTAGGTCTCCCCCAATGTGACTTCTGAAGAGCTGCTGGAAAAAAATTCCCAGGATGGGGTGGTGGGAATTTGTCCAGGGTGAAGTACAGCTCAGTCTGCACCCTCAGGCCCTTCTCTTCTCCTGGGCTCAGAAGTGCTCAGAGGTGGGTAGGGGTGCGGTGAACCCAGGAGTGGTGCAGGAGCGGTTTTTGACTCTTGGTCACCCTAGGGTGAGCTGGTCCTCTCTGGGCAGAGTGTGTCTCTGTGGGTGTATAGTCACAATTTGCCTCACTAGTGCCCTTCCCTGTCTAGGTCATTGCTGTGGTCATGGACCTTTTCACTGACGGTGATATCTTTCAAGACATTGTAGATGCTGCCTCTAGGCGCCGAGTCCCAGTGTATATCATCCTGGATGAGGCAGGAGTGAAGTATTTCCTGGAAATGTGTCAGGGCCTGGAACTCTCTGACTTCCGTATTCGGGTAAGTCACACTGGGGCAAGGGCTGGGCAGGAGATGAGATGCAGATTCCGTCTGCCCCTTCCTCTAGCTCTTCTTTCTGCCTCCTCCCCAGTTCAGGGGCTCAGGTGAACTTCAAGATCTCAACCTTTTTCCTTATGTCTAAAAGCCTTGACTCATGAACTGATAATTACATGCCCAGCTTTTAAAATTTTATCCAAGGCTGCTGAAGTTGAAGGGGGCAGCTGTGGCCCAGTCTTGGGGCGCTCAGCCTCCAGAGCCTGACATCACTATTGGGTTCAAAGTTAGGGCTGTCTTCTGGGGAGCTTTGGGAACAGGCAGGAACTTCCCTGGTCTTGTCTATGCCCAAAGTGAGATTTGGTGACTTCTTCCTGCTCTCCAAATTGGGTTCCATATGTAAGGCTGTAGGAAGAAGAGAGCCTAGCAAAGATAAGAGCCCATAGGCAGGGCCCATGGACAAGAGGGCTCTTCCCCTGCCCACGCAAAGACTTGGCACAGAGCCTAGTAGGCCCTACAAACTGGGTGACGGTGCTCTTCTCTTCTCAACAGAATATTCGTGTTCGTTCTGTGACAGGCGTTGGCTTCTACATGCCCATGGGGAAGATCAAGGGAACCCTGTCATCAAGGTTCCTGATGGTGGATGGTGACAAAGTGGCCACTGGATCGTACAGGTGAGTTGATCATAGAAGAGCCAAGGAGATCTTTATTCATGGTAATTGTTCAGGAAAATGCTAGACTGGAGCCTCCATTGTCAGGAGTTTTAAAGACATATTGTCTGACCCAATGGTGGAGAACAGCTTCCTGCCCAGTCCTTTCCCTCAAACTTTCTGGTTGATGGATTATTCTAGAAAGAAGGTCAACTCTTGCTGGGCGTTAAGCACCACCTGCTTTTCATGGTCCACAGCAACCAGTTACAGTTTGAGGCTAGGTGTTAGATGGGATAAACAGGAAGTAGAGTGAACCAGATCTGGGAAAGAAAGGTGAAGGTGTGGTGTGGAGGAAATGTCTCCAGAATTTTGATTTCAAAGTAAATTACCAGGAGTATGACAGACTATATTTGTGCAGTCTCTCCCCTCCCAGTAAATTGAAATCTAGTTGAGGAGAAGAGATCTGAGCCCATGAAACAGTTAGTAAATGGCATAAGTCCTCTTACTTATGGTTAAAGTATGGATTTTCTTTTTCCTTTTTGTCTTTTTTACTGACCGGTAACGGGATCCCAACCCTCAGTGTCGCGCCCGTACCGGGCACCGGCAACGGGATCGCAACCCTCGGTGTTGCGCCCGCACCGCGCTCAGCCAGTGAGCGGGAACCGGTCTCCACATGGGATCCGAACCCTCGGCGGGAGCGCCACCGCACTCCCAAGCGGCACACTCTCCAGTGCGCTACCGGGCCGGCCCAAAGTATGGATTTTTGCAGACACTATGTGCACTAAAAATTCAGAGAGGAACCAGCAAGGAATGGAGTAATATCAACAACAGAGGCAGCTGCAGCTACTGTTTATTAAATGTGTGTCTGTGCTAGGTACTGAGCTAAATGTTTTATAGAAGTTATTTTACTTGAGCCTCACAACTCCATGAGTATGGGTCCTGTGGGCTTCATTTTACAAAGCACACGAGGGTAGAAACCAGGTTTGAATCCAGGCCTGACTTCTCATGCCCTTTCCCTGCATCTGCTGCCTTCTTTCTGCATTTGAGGCTATGACCTGGGAAAAGGGAAGATTTGGGGTGGTGGCTGGCTAGCTTAGTTGGTTAGAGTACAATGTTATAACACCAAGGTCAAGGGTTCAGATCCCCAAACCATCCAGCTGCCAAAAAGAAAAGCGTGGATTTGGGTCAGTGGAGGGAGGGCAGTCTGGCACAAAGCCAGAGAGGTGCCTTCCACTGGGCAGCGATGAGTCTAGCCACAGTGGTGAGTCAGGACGGTGCGATGTTGAGGTGGCCGCAGGCAGGGCGAGGGAGAGGCCTAGACACATGTCTTGCTTTTCTGTCCCCACGTTCTCAGGTTCACTTGGAGTTCCTCCTACTTGGACAGGAACCTCCTCCTCCTGCTGACAGGGCAGAACGTGGAGCCCTTCGATGTAGAGTTCCGAGAGCTGTATGCCATCTCCGAGGAGGTGGACTTGTACCGGCAGCTGGGCCTGGCAGGAGGTGCAGGCAGGCACCTCAACTACTCCTCCACCGTGGCTCGCAAGCTTATCAATCCCAAGTACGCCTTGGTGTCAGGCAGCCGCCACCCACCAGGGGAGATGATGCGCTGGGCTGCCCGGCAGCAGCGGGAGGCTGGCGGCAATGCAGAGGGGCAGGAGGAGGGCAGCGGAGGTGGCGAGTCGGCCCGGCGCTTGGAGAGCTTTCTGAATGACCTGGTTACGGTGGAGCAGGTGCTGCCCCCCATAGAGCCCATTCCCTCGGGAGAGCTGAGTCGGAAGGATGGCAGGATGGTTTCTCACGTGCACATAGACCTGAAGCCCAAATCCCGGGAGGCACTTACCCGAAATGGCAAGGGAGAAGCTGCCAATGGGGAGGCCACTCCAGCCAAGGAGGGCAAGCGCTTTAGCAGCAGGTTCCTGAGTCGACGGGCCAAGAGGCCCGCAGCGCCCAATGGCACAACCAGCCCCCTCTCCACCAAGACCTTTGCCGAAGCGGAGATTCTGCTGGGGAAGAGGGCCAATGAGGGTTCCAGTGCTGACATCTCAGGTGAGCCCCTCTGCCCAGTGCCGCCCCAGCCTTGCATCTGGCCCTTATCGAGGAGCATTGCCACATATCTGCAGAGGGGTAGCTTGTTGTCCTGGAGACAGCAGGAGCTCTGGGCTCAGAGGGTCCTCAGTTTCCATCTTGGCTCTGGCCTGTATCTAGCTTGTCGACTGGTGCAAATCGCTGCAGTTCTGAGTTTCCATTTCCTCTTCTCTGAAAGGGGAGAAGGCTGCATGCCCAGCTGTTCTGAGAATATGAAATGCTCAGGATAGTGCTGGGCATGGAGTAGTCCACGAGCTTTTATAACTACTGCAAGAGGGCATTCAGATCGGCCCTCCCAGTAGCTTAAGAGGATAATGTAAGCTTAGAAAGTTTCTCCTTTGGGCCGAGCCCGTGGCGCACTCGGGAGAGTGCGGCGCTGGGAGCACAGCAGCGCTCCCGCCGCGGGTTCGGATCCTATATGGGGATGACCGGTGTGCTCACAGCACTCACTGGATGAGCGCGGTGCGGCCGGTCTCAAAAAAAGGACAAAAGAAAAAAAAAAGAAAGTTTCTCCTTTGGAGATGAAGAAACAGAAGAAGCAAAGCATAGCTGGGTGGCAGGGCCAAGGCTCAAGCCCTGGCTCTGGGTTTAGGGCTCTTTCTAGCAAACCTTGTTCCTTGCCAGGTCACCCGTCATCAGGACCTAACCTGGCCAAATATACGCCACCCCACCCCCTTGCCCCACCAATGCTCTGACCCACTTTCCTTTTTCTTTTGTCATTAGTCTGACTTGGTTTTTCCACGTGCCTATCATGAGTGGCGTTGGCCATGCTGCTTACCCTCTGGGAGAAACTGTCCCTAGTGGTAGCATCTTTCTGGCTATCTCTCTGGGATCCCTAGAGGCCTTGGCCTTTGCCTCTTTTTGTGGAGCACTCTCAGTGTGGCCTTTGAGAAGGCTGGTGGTGACAGCCAGGGCTGCTGTGGTGCCTTTCTTATCTCGGCATCCGTGAATGGGAGGGGTCTTTGTGCTGGGATTTCTCCTTCTGCTTATGGGGCTTTGCCGCAAAGAGAACTGGGCTCCCTGGCTGGCCAGGTAGGTGATGGCAGAGCCTGAGGTCTTGTCCTGGGCAGCCTGGGGGCACTCAGGACTCATGCATCCCCACAGCCGCAGCTGGGGCCAGATCGTGAGTGGCTTGAGAACAGGGACCCCAACCATCCCTCCTCTGCTGATTGCCCAGCACCTATCACAGCCTAGCACACTCCGTGTGTTCAGGAAATGTCGGATACATTTGCTTCCTAAAGTTAGAACCAGCTTGGGCGTCTCTGTGGGCACAGCAGGAGCACCAGGGCTTTACCTCCATGTGCCAGGTCCTACGTACGGGCTCCCTCTCCTTTTGCTCTCACAACACCCCTTCAAGCACAGAGGTGGCAGGTGAATGCTTGGAGAGGTGAATCCAGTGACCCACCAGGGGAGGGTGGCTGGCCCCGTTCCCATTCCTCCTGGCTGCCCTAATGCCAGATGCTGTTGCCACCCCGCTCACTCTTTCTCGCTTGCGTCCCTTGTTTGGAGGAAGGGTTGCCATGGTGAATACCTGGCAGGGAAGGGAGGGGGAGGGAGGGGGCGAGCCTGACCGCAAAAGGGGCTGTTTCCCAAGTCCTGGCTGGAAGTGAAGTGGAAGCTTTCTCTTCCTTCAGCCCCTCACCCAGAGGTGCTGTTTCCATAGAAACGCAAGGCCCATTGTCTTGTCCCTTCCCACTGCCTTTAGCTGTCTCTCAGCATTGGATTCCCCTGCTCGGATGACTGAGGCAGTTGCTGCCAGTGTTGCCAATCTCTGAGTGTTTGTGCATGGTGCCCAGGCCCGTGCCCTCAGGAAGCTCCTCTCCAGAGTGCCTGACACCTGGACAGAGAGAGAGAGAAAAGAGGGAGGGTGAGACTGCACCAGCACACAGCCAGGAAGGTCCGAGGGCTGCCTGGAAGGATCACCCTGTTCCTTCTCCATCCTTTAGAAGAGACACAGAACAGCTTCGTCCAGCACGAACTGTGCCCACTGGGATGGGCATCCTATGCCTGAGGCCTTGACATTCAAGTTCCGTAGTGAGACCTTTTCTCTCCCTTCCTCTTTCTTCCCTCAAAGGCAGGGAAGAGAAGCAGTAGCTCCTCTCCTAGGAGGCCCTTTTCTTCTGCCTCCCAAATGTTGGCATGCAGACGTCCCCCTCCCCCCACCCCTGCCTCTGGCAGCAGCAGCTAAGCAGCTAGGACTGTGTGTGTGACAGGGTTGCACTCCTGCCACCGTGGGCCCCTAAGGTAGAAACGAGTAGTCCCAGTACACTTGGAGCTGCTGTCTGGGAGGAGATCACTTTAGCTTCTACCTTAGGGCCCTCCATCCAGGAAAGGAATCGCCTTCCCACACAGAACATTCAGAATAGCCCAGACATGTTGCTCTAGTACCCTGGATACATCCTTCCCCTTCCTGGGCCTCTTTCCTCCTTTAGAAGGGGAGGGAGTGAGCTAAGGTCTCTTTGAATTCAGGTTCTGACTGTCCTTTCTGTCTCTGTTGCCCTCTTGTCAAGGGAGAACCCGGGTGGATGACGGGATGGGTGGAAGAGAGAAAAATAGAAAAAACCCAAGAGCTGACAGCCTGTGAAATTGCTTGATAAGAAGTATATAGTTGTCAAACAGCATGTAAATTTTTGCAAAACCAGGTGTGGCCCTTGGGAGAACCTTACGAAATCGCTTCCTTTGGGGCGGGGGATTCAGCTGGTGGCTGGTGGGAGGGTTGCGGGGAAGCTGCCCAGTGGTTTGAAGGCTCACAGCCCCCTCTAGTGGCAGAAGCTGGGCGCCTTCTGCCTTTGGTCTTTCAGCTAAACCCTGCTCCTGCACTGGGTGTACTTAGCACCTTTCCTCAAGCTTGTCACCTGTGCCATCCGGGAGCTTGGAGGGAAGCTTAGGGCAGGGATCCCAAACCCCAGGGAGCAGCAGTCAGTGGAGGGTCTCATTAAAAATGCAATGAATAGAGTCTACTGCTGGGCTGGGCTCAGGAATCTGCATTTTAGACAAGGGCCCTGATTTTCCTATGTGGTTCTCCGATGCAGGGAGTCCTCAGACCAACAGACTACACAGTGACACAGAAGAGACTCAGACAAGACCCTGCCCTCAGGGGACTTCCAGGCTGGGGGGGAAGTTCCAGGTGCTGTGTCCAAAACCCCACCCAGTCTCCCCACTGAGATTGCTGGGAAATGGCCTACACTTTTTTTTTTTGTCTTTTTTCGTGTCCGGCAACGGATCGCAACCCTCAGTGTCGCGCCCGTACCGGACCGGGACCGGCAACGGGATCGCAACCCTCGGTGTTGCTCCCACGCCTCGCTCAGCCAGTGAGCGGGAACCGGTCTGTATGTGGGATCTGAACCCTCGGCGGGAGCGCCTGCCACGCTTCCCAAGCGGCGCACTGTAGCAGTGCGCCACCGGGCCGGCCCTGGCCTACACTTTTGAAGAAAGTTAAGACACGGTGTTACATGATTTCACAGAGAACTCATGTAGTCCTTACAACCATCCTGCATCATGGCAGCATCTCACAAACAAGATCCCTGAGATTCAGAGAGGTGAGCCCCTGTGTGCATGGTCACGCAGTGAAGAGAGCACAGTGTGGTCTCCTGCCTCCCAGGGCCTTCTGCAAAGCATTAGGGCTGTCTCCGGAAGGCTAGGGTTGGCAGCATTTCCCTACGTGTTGAAAGGTTGGAAGAGCCAGAGGCCTGAATATAGGATTGACCTTCCTCCTGCTATCCTACCAGCCAAGAGGAAGGTGGGAGTGACAGCTTACTTCCCAGGGTACCTCTGCATCATTACCTTCCTGAGACCCCTGGGGCCGTGCTTTTCTTCCCAGAGTCCTCTGAGGCACCTGCAGTGACATACCTTCCCAGAACTCTCCTGGGTTCCCCTGATTCATGTGTGGATGGGCCCCCCTGGCTGGCAGCGTGATCTGGATCTGTAGAGCTGTGGCCACTGTGCTCCTGGATTTGGGGACTTCTGCTTCTCTTGTGTCATCCCTGGGTGCTGGAGGTCTCAGATCTCTCTCCTGGAAACCTTGGTCCCTGTCAGGGATGGCATGTCAGGAGAGTGCTTTGTGGGTTCAGAGTTTCATAAGGATTTGTGGGTCCCCACTTCCAGAGTAAGTCTACCCAAGTGCTGTCTTATCAAGGCGGGGTTTCTAAACTCAGTGTTACCGTTGAGGAGCATGGATCAGCCGCAACTGGTATTTGGAAGCTGTAGTCTGATCTGATGCACCTGAGCACCTTTACCAGTGGGGGTTCCAACACAGCACAGGAGAGGGGAGCACAGTGAGGTTTTCCTCGTGGCCAATCGCACTCTGCTCTAGAGAAGAGGCAGGTATCCGTACTCTTATTGGCAGATGTCATAATCTCTCTGTCCTACTTTCTCTTGAGCCTGGCCGAGGCTGATGTCCCCATCTTGGGAAGACAGTAGGTGAGTGAGGGCATCTGCCTCACCCAGTCAATGTCTGTTGCTGCTGCTGTCAGTACTGTTTTCTAGGATTGTCTGAACCCTGAAGTAGCTTGCCATTGCCTGCTTGTTCACTTTACTTAAGAAATATACAGGTTGAATATCCCTTATCTGAAATGCTTGGGACCATAAGTATTTCAGATTTGGGATTTCTTTGGATTTTGGAATATTTGCAGAATACATACCAGTTGAGCATCCCTAATCCGAAAATCCAAAATCTGAAACGCTCCAATGAGAATTTTCTTTGAGTGTCATGTCATCACTTTAAAAGTTTTGGATTTTGCAGCATTTTCGATTAGGGATGCTCAACCTGTATACTTATGAAATGTCCTCTCCATGCCAGGCACTGTTCTAAGTTCCGGGTACAGCAGTGAACAGAGTGAACCAAGAGCTCCATGCCGTCTTGGGCATGTTATACTGAGGAGAGATGGCGCAGGGGAAGGAAATGACCTATTTATAAAGGGTGATCAGGGAAGGCCTCTCTGACAGGGAGCACTAGAGCAGAGACTTGGATGGAGAGAGCCATGTGGACATCTGGGGGAAGAGTCTTCCACATAAAGGGTATGAGAAGCCCTGAAACCTATAGGAAAGTGGAACCTGTTGTCCTTATCAGCATTCCCTGCCTCCCTCTCTCCTGCACCACTTTGCCTGCCAGTCGAACCAGACCAACTGGGGCTCCTGAGTGCCCCAGGATGCCCCCTCCCCAGCCCTCACACCGTGCTTCTCCTCTGCATCTGGTAACTCTTCCCTCCCCTTCACACCCCCATTTCAGTCTCACTTCACTGTGACCTGCCCTTGGAAGCTTGACTTTCTCTTATAAAATGTTGGGCTGTCCATGCTCATGCCACGCATACTTTCAAAAAAAATTTTTTTTGACTATGTATTCTTCACCACGAATCTGAGTGGGTCTGATCTGCCTGTACATGGTAGGCTCCCAGTACATCAGCACTGGAGAAGTGATGGGACACATCCTCAACCCAGCTTCCCTGTCAGAGGCATGGAAATGAATTCTGTGCATAAGGTATCTCTCCTGACTTTTGTGCAGCCTTATAAAATGAGTGGGTACCTGTCCTGGTACAGACAGGCTCTGCCCCTGACTCTCCCGGCCTTCTCTAGGAGGTAGCTGGGCAGAGTGTGGGCATTGGAAGCAGGCTCCTCTACCGCGCCTGCCTCCTCTGCCCCTCAGAGCTACACGCCTTCCCCCGCTTCCAGATCTGGAGGTTGATTTGCTTACCTGCCTCCAAAATGCTGTTGCCCCTGGGGAAGAACTCGGCATCTGCTTAGTAGGCCAAGCAAATAAAACAAGCCACTGAGGAGAGGAAGTGGGGATGGGTATGTCCATTGCAACAGTGAGAGAACTCTATGATGGCAGAATTCAGTCACTTGAGCAGAACCGTGTCAGACACAGACCTTGGCACCACCGCCAACAGTGACTGAGCTCCTGGATCCATCAAGAACTCAGGCAGAGTCATCCATCTCCCCTCCCACCTCCCTCTGGGCAGCCCTCTGTCCAAGTTGGGGCAACACTGATAAGGATGGCTTGACTAGGTTCATAGTACGTTCTGAAGAGTTAGTTCCATCAGGCCAGACAAGGCAGCAGTTGAGTACAGAGGGTGAGCTCAGCTGGGGGCAGGCCGCCACAGCCAGGCCTCCAGGTCAGGCTCTGCTCAGTGTCTCTCCTGCTAGTGGCCCAGGAGAGGAGGCAGATGCCACCTTAATTAAATTCACAGCTGAAGTGATACCAAAGGTGGTGCAAGTGCCAGGGAGACAACCCTTCCTGTGTAGAGAGGAACTGGCAGGAAATAATAGGAGCAATTTCCACCTGGGGAAAGGTAGCCAGCGCTCACTCCCAGGACATCAGCTCCCATGTTCAGCAGCCCGTCACCTCTCAGGTCTCCTCTCAGCTCCTCCTCTGTCCCTCCATAGGTCAGAGAGCAGGGACTCAGCCTAAGAAACTGTCAGCCTCGTTTTGAGATTGTAACGGAGTGGAACTGGATGGTGGAGGCCTAGAGAAGAGGAGAAATAAGCCTCCCTGGGCTGGAGGAGGGCAGCTTTCTGTCCCCCTTCTCTTCTCTCGATGCACTGTGTTCCTCCCTCTTCATCCTCTACCTTAAAACTGCCCCCCTAAGCCATGTGATCCACCCCACTGTGCCCAGCTCTTAGCCAGCACTTCTGACCCTTCCTGAGGCATAGGCTTTCCTCTTCCAGCCTAGGCAGCATGCATGGCAGAAACCAAGGCTGACTTTGGAAGACCAAGCTCTGGCGCTGGCTCTGGGAGCTGTTGGTCCCACTGCTCTGCTGCAGAATAGGGAAAGTGACACCTGGCTCACAGTGGGGCCCGTGAGGATCACCAGAGAGAACGCCCGTGGTGGTGCTTTGTAAGCTATGAAGCTGCATGTGATACTAGCTGCCAGTGAATCACCTCTTGGCAAGAGTTTTAAGTCATTGATTGTAGTTGTTGATTCTGGAGTCTGGATCCTTCCCCCACTCCTCTGGGTCAGGAGATGGCAGGCCCTTGACGTCCCAACCAGTAGGCTTCCTGCTGAGGCTGCCAGGACAGGAAGAATCTTTCTTTTTGCTTTCCTGGGTGCCCTATTGACCTGGTTTCTAGTTCAGCAGCTTGGAAGGGAGACAAAAACCGCAGACCCCCAATTTGAGGTGTGGACAGCACACAGGAAAGGGGCTGGAGGTGAATCTACTGAGCATTTCACTTACGTCCTTCCCTGCCTGTGTCCCTTGTCTCTGCAGGTAAAACAAGTCCCAGTCCTGCCAAGCCCAGCAATTGCGTGATTTCCTGAGTCACAGGACAAAGGAGGGCAGGACCTGTGGATGTCCACCTGTCCTATGCTATGGAGAGCACAGGTGGCACCAGTTTGCACACTGGACTCTGACTGGCCTCCTGCCCTGCAGCCTTCATCCTGGCCTCAGGGACCCTGAATCCCAAGTGGGAGGGTCTGAAGCATCTCAAGACTCACACGCCTCTATCAGACTGCCGGTGGCTGAGCAGGGGTCACTGCCGCCTTGTTTACATGAAGTGGAAGCTTGACCCGTATCCACTCTCATTTGTGCCTGACTCCTCCCTCTGCTGGGCTAGCCTTCCCCTGCAGGTTCCCAGATGGGGTGAGGGCCATGTCTTTATACCTTGATGGGACAGGGTCTCCAGGGCAGCCCCAGCTTTCCGGCTTCTCCTTCCCTGGGCTTTCTGGTGCTTCTGGTCCTCCCCAAGTGGCTGGTGGTATGAAAGGGATGAGGACGAGGCTCCGAGCCAGGTATCCTGAGATCTAGGCTTGCTCTAGCCTTTGAACTCAAATTGGAAGAGGTGGCTGGGACAGCTGGGGGACCAGCTGCTGTGGCCTTCCTGGCCCAGCCCCTGCGGCTCCTGCACTAGACTCTGAATGGAGTGTGGGGAAGATGCTTCAGCCTCCCCCAGCTGCTGGCAGAATTGGACACTGCCATTCTGAATCCTCACACTGAGGATTCCTTTCCCTCTGCAGTCCTGGCAGTCTTGGCCCGAGTGGTGCAGGACTCCTTGGCTGCTGCCTGCTGCATGCCTCCATGGGGGCTCTTACAGTGCCTTTACCTGGGACCACTCCTCCCCTCAACGTGCCTCACTTTGCAGCCCAAGGCACCAAGAGGGCTTGGCCGAGTGGGGTGGGGGTGTGTGGGAGACAGGACCCCACGGGCAGGAGCGTTTGCCCTTCCCCCCCACCCTCAAGATGGTCCTTGGTCCCCTTCACCAGTCAGGACTCCCCCAGGTACATTTCAGCCAAAGACTAGCCTCAGCCTCCTGCAAAAAGTCAGGCTCTAGTTTGGAGCCTCAGCTTCCCTGAAGCAGGTTGGCCTAATTACCATGATGCCAGGCCAGAGGAACCAGTAAACAATCCCACACGGCTCCTCCCCACCTGGGTGAATGACAGGGGCTGCAGAGAGAGTCTGTGGATGGACGCGGGAGAAACTGCCAAACTGTGGATTCTGAGCCGGCCCTGCCCAGGCAGGGAGATGGAGAGGACCAGAGCCATGGAGGAGCGAAGAGCTGACACGCCCTGTGAAACGGCACCTGGTGGCCTTCCTCAGCCTCTAACCCCTGAACCAAACTCCTGTCCTCTTTCTTTCTTCTGAAAAACCCTGGGACACCACCTGCACCTGGGGCAGGGGCACAGACGTATGCAAAGCAGCTGATGTGGGACACAAGAAAGGTGCGCACCGGCTGGGCTACGGTGGACCGGGTGTTCCTTCTCAGAAGGCAGGAAGTGGGGGCAACACCTGGCAGCCGTGCAGGAGAATCTGGTCTTAATGGCAGCAGGGAGGGGACGAGAAAGGAAGGGTGAGGAAGGGACCCTGGCCCACCTCCCTGAGCTTTTGTGAGGATTAAACACTCCTGGGAAGTGCTTCCCTGTGCACTGAAGCCTGGCACTGTGGCACTTGCTTGTTCTGCGGGGAAGGAGAGGGAGAGGTGGGTGACGGGATGGGGTGGGGTTCACACCTCAGCTCAAAGCGGTCACCCTGAAGGTGTGGGACACAAGATGCGAAAATTACAACAGGGAAAAGACCACCCTCGGTGTGAAGAGTGGACACCTCTGGGGAAGGAACCAGTTTCTAAGTGATTCTGCTGAGGGCTGCCTGTGCCTCCCCTATGGGAGAAGCTGGCCTGCCTTATCACTTTCCCCTCTCCTGACCCCAGCAGGCCCAGATGGTCTGCAAGGCAGGGCACCTCACCCTTCCAGCTTCAGGCTCCTCATCCTTACAGAGGTTTGGACCAGATGGTCTCTGGCCCCCTCCAGCTCTGAAATGCTCAGGAAAGAGACTATAGTCCAAAGATCACTGAGGATCTTGAAGTCATAAAATGCAGCTGTTAGTGTTTGCTGTCTGCCTAAGCTCCAGCCCACTCTGTTCCGCCTCTTGGCTTCTCAGCTTTGAGTATGTCTGCCCTCTGTTCCAGCACTTGCACATACTTTGTGAAATATGCTCTCACTCATCAAATCTCAAGGGTACATCTGGCCTTCCCAGATGGATGGCAAGTTCAAGGGTGGATTGTGCCCTTGGCCCCTGCACAGCAGCTCCTATGAGTTTGGTAATGTTGGAAGGGCTCTAGAAAGAACAGGATGAAAAGGCACTCTCAGTGATAGGCTCTAGCTTCACTACCCACCCAGCGCTCCCACATTGCTACCACCATGCTGCTCTCTCACTGAGTCCGGCTTCTCTAGGTTGACTGGTGCAGCTCTTTGGGAAGGCTAACCTCCCAATGAGCTGAGCCCCCTGGAGTTGCTACCACCCTGGCTTTGGCCCCATAAGGGCAGGAAGGCTGTCCCTTGAGATTTGGCAACACTTGTCTGTCTCCTTTGTCAGCTATCTGTCCTCAGGGTATAGTTAGTCCTATCCCCCATCCCACAAGCGTGCATCTGAGACAGCCTCTGCTAGCATTTCTATACTGCCTGTATATAAAGACTAGACAAAAAAGGAGGCCTAAAAATATGGAGGGACGTGGCCAGAGAGAGGAGTGGGGTTTTTTGTTTTTTGTTTTTTTTTCTTTGCTACTGCGTTACTTTTCTCTCTTTTGTTTATTGAGCACCCACCATATGCCAGTCACTGTGCTGGATGCTTTAGTCACATGCAGATTTCAAACCAGGAAAACCTCAGCAAAGAGTACAAAGTTAATAGTTTCCCTGTGTGTTTGGGGAATGAGCTTCATAAACTTGTGTGGTGAGCAGCGCAGGCCATATTATCCCCATTTTTCAGATGAGGAGGTACACGGTTTTCCCCAAGTCCCACACCAAATAAAATGCAGATCTGAGCCTGTTCCTGGAGCTCAGGGTTGCAGCACTAGGGACACATTGGAGCCACAGAATGCTGTTGGGGGAGAAGCTGTACTATGAATTGTGGGAGGTTTAGCAGCCTCCCTGGCTTCTACCTACTAAATGCCAGTAGCATGCCTCAAGATGAGACAACCAAAAATGTCTTCAGACATTACCAAATGTCCCTGGGGGATAAAATCACCCCAGATGAGAGTTCGGGCTTTCTACCCTGCAGCCCTGATGGCCACACAGGCTGCTTCTCTGAAGTGCTTCTGCCTGTAAAGGGGTATCATGACAGAGCACTTCGGCCTAGGGAGCCTGGCTGACTTACCTGAGGTTTCGCTCTCTGGGACAAGCATAATAGCATCTTCCATGTTTGTTCTAATTACATTGCTTAGCTCTTCACTGCCTGGTACTCCCCAGAACAGGTGTGTTTATGTGCACACATCTGCCTTACTCCACTGAGCTCCCTGTCAGGTTTCTTCCCAATCTGTTCCCCTTCCTTCAGTCTCAGCCACGTCCTGCAAGGAAAGTGTCATTGGACGTTAGCTGCATGTGCCCAGCAGTGGCCCCACCTCCAAAAGCAGCCAGTCTGATGACAGAAAGTCTTCCAAAGTCAAGTCAGGCCAAGCAGGAATTGCTACCTGACTGTCATGACCACATTCTGAATGAACATCAACAAAGCCCTGCAGCAGCTAATTAGCTCTGCCATGTGCTGTGGCTATAGTTTATCATCTGGTGGTGCGCCATGCTCGTGCCTTCCTGCCCAAAGGACCCAGTGGCTGTCACTGATTGTCTGTACTGCTGTTCCAGTGGCAGGAGGTTTTCTGCAGAACAGGCACTCCATGAGCTAAGCCGGAGCAAGGTTGGGAGAGAAGAGCAAGAGATAGGCGCAGATGGGAGAGTGTTCTTAGGCTAAGTAATTGCAAGATCAGCCCAAAGGCTGCCCAAATTTAGGCAGGCCTGAACTTTTCACTCCTCCCCTTGGAGCTTCTGCCCTCCCAGCTACGAACTGAGGAAGGCCCAGCTTCCAGATGCCGTGCACTGCTGCCTGGCACAGTAGATACCCCTGTCCTTGGGGTTCCTGAGCCTGGAGACCAACTCTGTGAGCACAGGGGCCTTGTCCATTCTACTCACTGTCATACCCACATCATCTGCTTGATACCTATTTGGTTTTTTTGTTTGTTTGTTTGTTTTTTGTCCTTTTTGAGACCGGCCGCACCGCGCTCAGCCAGTGAGTGCTGTGAGTGCACCGGTCATCCCTATGTAGGATCCGAACCCGCGGCGGGAGCGGTACTGCGCTCCCAGCGCCGCACTCTCCCGAGTGCGCCACGGGCTCGGCCCGCTTGATACCTATTTGATTGAAGACTTGAAAGCCACTCAACACAGAGGATAAGCCAGGCTAATACACTTGGAAGGTGTCAGGGTTTCCAGAATTGACTTCTAACGCTGCACATGGAAGCCAAATGGGATTCTGCTGTCTGCTATTTAATTTCTTAATGACTAGGTTTACAAAGTCCCTCCTGATCTAATCCTTTCCTCTAGGAAGTTTTCCCCTTTCATTGTGAGTCCTAAGCAGATTTCAACTCTCAGGCCCTCTAGACTGGGTAGAACCCAGTCTTTAGGCCTCTAACTACTTGGGGATGACCCTGTCTGTGTGCTTTCTTTCAAAAGGATAGCGTAGAGGCAGGTGAGGAGAAGGGCCTCAAGGTGAGGAAATTTGTCCAAAGTCACCCAACAAGTCATGGGAAGGGCTAGAATCTGATTATCTGGACACATCCTAGAGCACTTTCACTGTACTGAATGGCCTCTCCGAGTGACAGCCAGTTGGACACAAGTTTTCATCCAGAAAAATGGTTAGAAGTTAGGGCATTGACTGCAGCCACGAAAAAGCATCTTCAGGAACAGATGTCCACACAGAAAGAGACTGGCTAGGATCTGCCACGGAAGCCAGCAAGTGCGTGGGAGCCTGGAGGAGGAAAGGAGCAAAAGGCAGGAACAGGCAG